AATTGCTCTATTTGCCATGATTTTCCTTAGATATAAGATGCATTTTTATAATTTTTATAATAAAAGTCAATAATATAATGTGTGAAATGAATATTTTTAATTTTTTAAATAAAAAAATAATATAAAAAATGTTTTTTTTTTTATTATTATGAGGATTTTTACTATTGGGGTACAAACGTATCCCGGGTGTGTGTTTACGTATATAATGTGTTTGGAAGGCTGTAGCTCCTGAACCAATGGTCCGATCTGGTTCAAATTTTGAATTTGAACTCAAAACTAAATAATCTTCCTAGATCCGATCCGTTAGCGGTATAGAGGTATAGCGGTTTAAAAGTTACAACACTTCAAATTTGAAAGTGGATACATTTGTACCCGGGTGTGTGTTCTAGGGTTAAAATTAATTAGTCGTAATCAACTGTACGATTAATGATAACATTTTTTTAATCGTTAACCGCTGGCTGCGATTACGTTTAATTATTTTAAAACATTAATCGTTAATCCAATTAAAAATAAAATCTGATTAATTTGTCTAGTTTGTCCGAGTTTGAAACCAAACACCAGTTATAGTAATTATTTTGTGTTTTACGCTTATAAAAACACGTAATATAAAAAAATTATATTTATTGTTATTAGTAATACATAAACTGGGAACTTTTACAAACCTAGTTTGTAAAATGTTTGTTGGTATATATCTTAAGGAAAATGCACACCAAATTGCTTAGATTGATGAGGAAACCCGACTTAGCCATACCAGATTAACTTGCTTTGTGTGCACAGGGCAATCCCAGCATAACTTAATTAATCACCAAACCTACTTGATCAAATTAAAAGTTATTGATTAAAAATTAATATTTTAACCGCGGTTACGATTAACTGTTTAGTCGGATTAAAATTAATCATGATTAACTGTAATAAGATTGAATTTAATCGAATTAACTAACTAATTAAAACATCAATCGATTAATGCCAACATTGATTTCACATGCATATCACTAAACCAAGTTTCAGTTCTCTCCCACAAATACTTCCAGAGATATGTATGTAATATGAAAATTCCAATTTGTATGGGAGGGGCCTTGAGTTATCGGACTCAGTTTCAGCCTAAGACCATCCTTCCGAAATCCGTAGTAAGTGTACTAAATTTCGTTCTGATCGGAAAACCGGTTAAGGAAGTAGGCTATTTTTCAATCCAGGTCATAAACTATCTTTGAGCAAAATTTCATTTTGAAACAGGTGGCAATTCTTAAAAAAGTAGCTTATTTTCCAGTCTACGTCATAAGCTATCTGTGTGCAAACTTTCATGCAAATCAGTTCAGTCATTTCCACGTATTAATTTAATTAAACTTTCCTAATACGTGATAACTATTAAAACAGTAGCCTATTTTCCAACATAGGTCATAAGCTATCTCTGTGCGAAATGTCATGCAAATCAGTTCAGTCGTTTCCGCGTGTTAATTTGATTAAAACTTTTTTAACAGGCGGCAACTCTTCCTAAAATTAGTATATTTTCCACTGTGGATCATAAGCTATCTGCTTGCAAAGTTTCATGCAAATCCGTTCTGACTTTTCCGCGTATTAATTTAATTAAACTTTTTTAGCAGGTGGTAACTCTTAAAAAAGTAGCCTATTTTTCAACCTAGCTCATAAGCTATCTGTGTGAAAAGTTCCATGCAAATCAGTTCACGCATTTCCGTGTATTAATTAAATTAAACATTCCTAACAGGTGGCAACTCTTAAAAAAAGTTGCCTACCTTCTAACCTAGGTCATAAGCTATCTGTGTGCAAAATTTCATGCAAATCCGTTTAGTCGTTTCCGCGTATTAATTTAATTAAACTTTTTTAACAGGTGGCAACTCTTCCAAAAAATTAGCCTATTTTCCAGTGTATTTCATAAGCTATCTGCTTGCGAAATTTCATGCAAATCCATGCGGTCGTTTCCGCGTATTAATTTAATGAAACTTTTTTAACAGGTGGCAACTCTTAAGAAAAGTAGCCTATTTTCCAGTTTAGGTGATAAGCTATCTGTCTGTAAATGTTCATGTAAATCCATTCAGTCGTTCCCGCATATTAAATATATGAAACTTTTTTAGCAGGTGGCAACTCTTAAAAAAATAGCCTGTTAACCAATCTGGCCCATAAGCTATCTGCGTACAAAATTTCATGCAAATCCGTTTAGTCGTTTCCGCGTGATGATTTTCCAAACATCCAAACATACAAACTTTCACATTTATAATATTTATAAGATAAGATAATATTTATAAGATGACCATATGTATGTTTAGCTATTTTGCTTCGCCACTGTGTAACGTGGTGTTCTTACCCAATCGAACACTATTAAATACACGATCTTACAGCAAATAAAAAGATGAGCTTTTTATTGAATCTTAAAATATTTGTATCAAGTACAAAGGGTTAGTCTTCAAATTTTATAATATAAAAATGAGCGCGCAATATAGGGCTTGCAAGCACAAAAGCGAATGAATAAAAATGTTCAGCTCAACTAACTGCAAGCTTACAAAAAATGGGTACATTATAAATGAGAATGTCAAAGATGTGATAAATGTAAAAAATGTTTGCACAGGGTGCTCCACAGTACTCCACCTCCAGACGAAAGCTACCTGTATCGTCGAGGGATGGCGGCCACTACGGGTGGATTTCTTCGCGATACTTTCGAAAGTGTCTTGCGCCGGTTGATTAACTTCAGGATTGCAGCTTTGAGTGTTCTATGCCAACGTTCTATCATGCCATTGGATTGTGGATGATACGGAGTAGTACGAAGGTGGTTGGCCCCAATCGTAGAAATTACTTCCTTGAAAACAGATGATTCGAATTGTCTACCCCGATCTGATGTAATGCGTTCTGGTACACCAAATCTGGAAATCCAATGCGTTGTCAAAGCCCTGGCGATGGTTTCGGCAGTCATATCCGGAATTGGCACAGCTTCCGGCCATCTGGTGTAGCGATCTATTACCGTAAGACAATATCGCTGTCCTTCGCATAGTGGAAATGGACCAACGATATCGATATTTATGTGCAAAAATCGTTCCTGTGGGAGAACGTATTTTTCAGGCGGTGATTTCATATGCCGCTGAACTTTCGAACGTTGGCAAGCTTCACAACTGCGTAAGAAGTTGGCGACATCTTTTTTAATGCCTTTCCACACAAATCGAGTAGTTATTAACTTGATTGTACCGCGAGCGCCGGAATGTGATAGGCCGTGAATCTTCGTAAGTATTTGAGATCTGAATTTTTTTGGAACATAGGGGCGTAAACGCGATGTACTAGTATCGCAAATCAGCTGAACATCAGTCTCTGGAAGCATGAATTGTTTAAGAATGAGTGAGTTTCTTGAATCTGCACCTGATTGCAAAAGACGTTGGAGTTCCTCGTCGGTTCGCTGTGCCAAAGCTATGCTCTTTTAGTCGATGATGTCATAAACTGACAGTATTCGTGAAAATAGGTCTGCTGCAATGTTGGCTTCGCCCGATATATGTCGAATATCAGTCGTAAACTGCGCGGTGTAATCTAGCTGTCGCGCTCTGCGGGGGCGGTCTTTTCGAGCTTTTGGTCGAACGCGTATGTTAACGTGCGATGATCGGTTAGAATGTGGCATTTTCTTCCTTCTATCATGTATCGGAAGTGTACGACTGCCTGATACATGGCTGTCAGCTCTCTATCATATGTGGAGTAGTTACACTGAGGTGGCCTCAACTTTTTTGAATAGAATGCAAGGGGCTGATATCCACCGTCTACAAATTGGTGTAGGGCAACACCGACAGCCAAGTCTGAGGCGTCGATGGGCAAAGATAATTCGGCATCGGTGGATGGATGAAACAGTAAAGTGGCGTTTGCAAGCTCTTCCTTGCAACGTGGAAAAGCGGATTCGGCTTCCGGTGTCCAGACAAGCAATGTGAGATCGTTTTTCTTATTACATGTCATAAGTTTTTGTAGTTCTTTTTGGCAGTCGACGGCATGTGGCAAAAATTTTCTGTAGAAATTAAGCAGATGATGGCCCAGAAATTTTATTTCCGCCTTACCAAATTCACATTTTGAAAAGTTAATAGAGAGATAATTTTCACATAGGCGTTGAAATACTAAACGCACATGTTGCCGATGTTGATCGATTGAGTCCGATGCTACGCAAATGTCATCAATGGAAATACAAAATCAAGTCCCCGTAGGACTTCGTCTATAAGACGCTGAAATGTTTGTGCAGCGTTGCACAAGCCGAAGGTCATAAATTCGAATTCATATAATCGGATGTGAGTAGTGATGGCCGTTTTTGCAACGTCATCGGGATGGATTGGCACCTGGTGAAATGCTTGGTCCAGGTCTATTTTCGAAAAAAATTTCTTACCTCGCAAAATATTTGTAAAGTCCGTCAGATACGGCAGCGGGTATCGATCGGGAAGCTTACGCACGTTGGGCGAAAGCCGACGGGGTCTCGAAAATACTGGTTTGCCCGTTGCCTCGATGCGATGGAACACCATCGACGTCGTTTTTGATCCGTATGGCGCTAGTTTTGCGATGGTCGGGAATTCTGATAAGATATCAGCAAATAAATTTCCTGCTGTAAACGTTTTAACTGTTGCTTCAGTGCACTTTATCGGTTCTCCTAGAGATGTAGCGAGAGATGTCAAGTTATCGATAAGTTTGTTTCGTCGCATATCGATAAGCAAATCATAAAATTTCATTAAATCCGCGCCAATAATAGGTTGTGTGACGTCTGCGACCAGGAATGACCAAACAAATTCGCGGTGAAGGCCAAGGTCTAGTTTAATTCGTTTTTCCCCACGTACTTTAATCGCAGCACCGTTTGCTGCGTATAACTTCATAGCGGATGGGCGAATGTCATACGATAACGTGAGCGGGAGAATAGATACGTCCGCTCCCGTATCGATGAGGAAAATTTTATTCGATGTTTTATCTCTTACCTGGAGGCGAAAAACTGAGTGTTCTGTGACAAAATTTTCGGCAAATTTTACCACGGGCTTTTCTAGTCAATTTTGCTTGTCTGTTATCGCTTGAATTGCTCGATGTCGTCGTCGACAAGGGCTGCGGGACTTGCGGGCATTGGCGCCGTACTTCTGATGATACCAGCACTCTATGTTTGGGGATGATGCGCTTCCATCTCTAGCATCAGGTGGTCGATTTGCGCTTTGCGTATTATGATAGGTGGTAGCTATTGGTCGAGACCGTGAGCGAGAATGCGAGCGAGAGCGTAAGTTGAATCTTTCGAATCGCTTGGACAAGTCTTCTATAGTTGAACGGAGTTGACTTATCTCTGCTGCCTGATTTCTCACCTGCGACACTTGATGAGGACTAACAGCATCGATGATTGAGTCGGCTATCTTTGTGAACTCTGATGCTGTGCCCGAGGATGCGGCGATAACTGGTTGCGCGAATTCTGGTAGACGCTTTATCCAAAGTCCCTTGAGATCAGCTTCTCCCAAGGTAGTACCTGCAACTCGTTTCATTTGGAAGTAGAGCTCCGAAGGTTTCCTATCACCAAGCGGCAACTCTGATTGTAGTCTATTATTTTCTATTATTAGACGTCTTTGGTCGCTATCTGCGAAATGCTCTATAATTTTGGTTTTGACGTTCTCGAATTTGTCGTTTTGTGGCATTTCGGCGATGACTTGGGCTAACTGGCTAATAACGGTGGGGTCCAATGCTGCAAATACCGTCCGATGTGATTCCGGAGGCGGTGAACCAAAAGTCCATGGACGTAAACCACGCCTCTATGTTGGAACTGGACATGGCAGGAACAGGCAGCCGAGCATAGATAACTGCGGCCTGCCGTTCATTTGGTGGTGCTTCACCACTCGTACTCCGGTTGTGTTGTTGTGGACTATCCGCTGGCGGCAAAGATATACCGCTATCAGAAGGCATTTTGTCGATTCTGAAAATTTCTCATAAAAACGCGTGATTTTTATAACGGTGCTCGTAGCGGCCCAACGCTAGGGCTGTTGTCTGCGTGTCGCGTGTCGGCAAACGTGGTGGTCACCAGTGTAGCTATTTTGCTTCGCTACTGTGTAACGTGGTGTTCTTACCCAATCGAACACTATTAAAAACACGATCTTACAGCAAATAAAAAGATGATCTTTTTATTGAATCTTAAAGTATTTGTATCATGTACAAAGGGTCTTCAAATTTTATAATATAAAAATGGGCGCGCGATATACGGCTTCCAGGCACAAAAGCGAATGAATAAAAATGTTCAGCTCAACTAACTGCAAGCTTACAAAAAATGGGTACATTATAAATGAGAATGTCAAAAATGTGATAAATGTAAAAAATGTTTGCACAGGGTGCTCCACATATGTATATAATTACGCATAAATACCCTGCTGCTATGTTTTTTTGTACGTAAGTGAGCGCAATATAAAAAGCAGCAACTCTTATCCATCTATGTATATCGCAAAGCTCGACATCGGCTGAACCGAGTTTTTTGAAATTTCGGACACCTGCTCCAGATAATCAAAGGACGGTTATCGGCAAATAAAAATCTCGTTATATAAAAGGGGCGTGGAACCTCCCATACAAAACGAATTTTTCTTACTCCAAATCTCTGGAAATGTTCATCGTAGAGTTCTAAAACTTTATATGGGCAAGGCACCTCCCATTAGTGATGTGCTGAATTGTCGGTACCCAATACTCGGTACGCAATACTTGAAGAAAATTTCGGTACCCAATACTTTCTTTTGGGTACCCGAAACCGATTTGATACATTAAACCTGATCAGCTGATTAAGTCTAGCGACATTTGAACTAGTTTTTACTATTTTTTCTTTTGTTTATTTTGTGTTTATAATATTATAAAAGTCTAGCACATTACATAGCACATTACATAGCACCATATTAGTCCACATTTCAAACTTTTTACAAAAATTATGAAAATTCAACAAACTTTAACAATTACACTTACAAATCTTGAACTTTTTATAAAAATTTTGTAGAAAAATTGTAGGTATACAGTTTCATAGCCCATTATATTTCAGTACTTTTAAACTACAAATTTTAAAACGCTAGAAATTCGCGTAGATTTTTAATAAATTTTTTTGGTGACGGTCCTAGGCATTTTCCTCCATATAAAAGTAATTGGTAGCATACTTTGTATGGGAGAATATGCTCAACAAAAAAAATTATAAACAATTAGTACACAAAAGAATAATTGCCAAAACTGACCACAAGAGTATACTTTTGAAGGGTGCAGAAAAAAAATTGAATTGCTCTTTTGTATGACAAAGCCTGAAATAAAAACAGGTACAAATAAGACGATGCTTCCTCAAAAGATGAGCAATGTGTATGCCAACATTTGAGCCTTCTTGTACTTATCACCGCAGTCTTACGAACTGCAATAATTATTGTGGTTAATTCGTAATAATCAGGCAGGTTCTGCAATTCACTTCCGAGTAAATGCCAATTTGAATTAAAAGCGAGTTTGAATTGAAATCCACTCGTAAGTGAATTGCAGAACCTGCCAGATTAGTACGATTTGCATTGTTGTTGACGTAGGGGCAGATATTAATACAGCGACGAGAACGTTCAGATCCAAATAATGTGGAGAAATATACTTCTTTAACCATAGATTAATGACTTCAACGAACACTAAACACCTTTTATTCCATATTTGTGGGTATTGCGGACTCATATTAGAAATTCCAATACTTCGGTACCGAGTATCGAAAGTATTGGATACTTTTTAATTCGGTACCGAGTATCGATCAATACTTAAAAGTATCGACTCAGCTCATCACTGCTTCTCATACAAGTCGAATTTTTCTTATTGCATATCTCTAGAATTGTTCTTGGTAGAGTACTGGAAATTGGGGTGGAGATATATGAAATTAATCGCATAGTCATGGAGAAAATATGAATCTATTGGAAAATACGGCGTGGCACCTACCATACAAGCCGAATTTCATACTGCATATCACTTATCACTGCAAGTGTTCATGGTACAGTACTGGAACACTTCATATGAAATGAATCCCATACTCATTGAGAAAAATGGGCTCTTTGAAGAGAGGGCGTGACAAAGTACAGACGAGCGAGTGCTGAAAGCAGCCACAGTAGCATGCTGAAATGACTCGCTTATATATACACGGGATTTGGAAGTTTTTATCTAGACGTCCAAGCGACGTGTTTGAGGTATCGTTGGAGAGGTTTTGCAGAGTGTGTCCAGAAAATGTATTCAGGTTTCATAAACGGTTATCCGAATTCTTCAAAATTAGGCTAAAGTAAAGGGTATGAGGGTACACCCAACATATCTAGTGTTATTTATAGGGCAATACCTTTCCAACGATACCTTTTATATTGAGTTCCGGCTACTAGTTGGAAAGATATAGAGCTAAATTGATTTTGGTTCGTGTCTCCACTACGAGATGCTTTCCGATGTGTGTATCGTCTGTACGTACCTTCATTTAATTTTTTTCAAACTTTCTGGTCAGTCGATTTTATTCTATGTTTCCTCAAGTCTAGCCCAAAGCCTTAGCTTTTATTTGGTATATAGGTTATATCTTGGAAGACTATTGTTGTAGAGATATTACGATTCAAATTGAAAAAATGTCTCTCCAAATATCGAAAAATTGTTAAGAGAAAACATATTCTTCTAATTTGGTTACCTTAAGTTATAAACTGAAATTCCCTGAAAATCGAGGGAATTTCCCACGAGTTAACTTCCTTGCACGCGATACATAATTAAGTAAATACGCAATCTTTTTATTTTTGCTGTTTTTTTTTCTTGTACATACATACATAAGTATACATGTGTGTACTAGGAATGTTTTTTATACTCAATGGTGAAACATGTCGATTTAGTCTGACATTCACGGCACCTTTTCTCACTTGTCGATTTTTAGTAATAACTCGACCTCAGCATCACCTGACAGCTCGTTTTTGTAATTGGACTGCCTTTACCGTTTCCAATACATGTTTTGAATATTCGTCAAATCGGATCATAAAAAAGATTTTTAGTAATAACTCAACTCCAGCGTCAACTGGCGGATTAAATTGTGCAACTAAACTATCCAGCCATTAAGGATTTCACTCACAAATATGTACAGCTACAGAAGAATTATGTACAAATTCAAAGATACGTAAAAGTCAGTACGTTTGTCCTTTGCCACGCCCTCTTTTCAAAGAGCCCATTTTTCTCAATGAGTATGGGATTGATTTTATATAGCTCCGTACGAAGTGTTCCGGTACTGTTTCCAGGGATATGCAGCATGAATGGTATTTTTCAATAGCTCCATATTTTCTCCATGACAACGCGACTAATTTCATATATCTCAACACCAAGTTCCATTATTCTACCAAGAATAATTCTAGAGATATGCAATAAGAAAAATTTGACTTGTATGGGAAGTGCCACGCGCCCTTTCCAATACCTCCAATTTTTATACAAGAGTATGAGGTTGATTTCATCTCCATACCAAGTTCCAGTACACTACCAAAACACTTCCAGTGATATGCAGTATGAAAATTCGGTTTGGATGGAGCGACTTTTTTCAAGTTGAATCGAAATATCTCCACAACAAGAGTTTTCCCAGATATATGCTATATGCAAAATGAAAGCTAAGGTTTTGGGCTAGACTTGTTGAAACTTAGAATAAAACCGACTGACCAGAAAATGCTCGACATCTATATTTTCAGCAGCCCGATTTTTAGTTTTCAGGCGATAACGTTATGACATGTTTATATTTCATAAACAAAAAAGACAGCGTTAGATAGCTTGTTTTAAGACCCTTCTACCGATACCCATTTCAATGGTATGGAATGAGTAGTGCGGCCTCAGTGATAGCTTAAAAATTTGCCTTTTTTCGAATTTCATGCACCAGCCACGCCCACAAAGGAATACGAATCGAAATATCCTGAAACAAAACCTTCTTAGTTTTTTCTGTACTTTAATTCCTGAAAGATTGAAAAAAATTAAAAAACAGACGCTACATACATCGCAAAGCATCTCGAAGTGGAGACACGAACCAAAACTAATTTAGCTCTATATCTTTCCAACTAGTAGCCGGAACTCAATATATAAGGTATCGTTGGAAAGGTATTGACCTCTAGAATAACACCAAATATGTCGGGTGTACCTACTTATCCCCCTAAAGCGGCAAAAGCAAAAAAAACTTTATTTCGCGACACTTTAGCCTAATTTTTAAGAATCCGGTTAATCATTTATGAAGCTGGAATACATTTTCTGGACACACTCTACAAGACCTTTCCAATGATACCTCAAACATGTCGATTGGACGTCTGGATAAAAACTTCCAAATCTCGTGTATATATAAGCGAGTTATTTCAGCATGCTGCTGTGGCTGCTTTCGTCAGTCGCGTGCACTGCCGTGCGCTGTGATTATGTCTTTAAGCTTCGGCGCTGAGCAACGCATCTACTGTCAACCGAATTTAACTGCTAGGAATGTAGTAAATGCCACGATCTTTCCATCATTCTTGAGTAAAAGCTTTAAATTTGCCAAGATACATAAGTTTCTGGCGTTCTCACCAATCAAAAGCAAAAGTACGTGTAATTTTTCAAAGAATGATGGGGGTTTTTTTTTCTCATGTTTTTTTGGTGTTAATGGCGCTAGCGCTTTTCATATATTTGTGTTGGCGCGGCAGCTCTG